TTCACTTTATTCACTCGTGCACTACTCGTGAGAATTTTGAACTGCATCCTTTGGAACAGCCGCTTCACTACGACGTAAAAAGAACAAAAAAACACCTTGATAAACCATTTCCAATCATTTTGCATCTTTAATGTGGCACAGCTCCTACAAATTAAAGCAAATCTATTCAACAGGAGGAATGTAAAAATTAAAGCTGGAGTGACCTGGCTGTAAAGCTGTGGACATCATTAAATGAATACTTTGACCTACCTTCATCTGTCTATAGTCAACACCGTCTTGTCTTAAATCTGATGAACCTGGAGCGAAGTCCATTGCTTCTGGTAGAAATGTCCAGATAGCTTGTCTTTTCAACCTGAAGTAGAAGCAAACCAAAGGATCAAATCATTGCCATTGTTCAACAGTGTCAATCAGAAGAAGGATAAAAAAAATCCCTTGAAGAAATGGCAGGACCTGCTGGGCCATTGGTTTGGTTCTTTAAATGTTTAGTTTAAAGCCAGAACTCCATGTCCAAAGAAAACATCTAGGTTTCTCCTAGAACCTTGTGGAGTGACATGTAAAGTTCTACAAGAACCAGGCTAGAACCTTTAAGAAGAAACGTTACAGCAAAAAACAATGCTGCACACTTTCAAACACGGTGGTGGCAGTATCATGATGTGGAGTTGCATCGCTGTGCTTGATGAAGATCGATTCAGCTCGAAGCCAAAACATACAAGTTGTGGTCCAATCGGAGATCCTCTGAACATCTCTGCTTGAAAGATTCAAAGATGTTTTTTTGGTTAGAAGGGGGTGATTATTTAATGATGTGGGAAATATAAAACAGCTTTTTCATTCTTAGGTTTTCCCCCACGTAGAAAGAGCAGAAAAAGTTACTCTGCTCGTCGTGACAGTGGGGACATGGTTGTTTCTAGATGCGTTTCTGATGTTGTCCAGTCTGCATACATCCTGTTCATTTTAGACAGTTTTAACTGGAAGAACAGTTGTTGAAAAAATGGATCTTAATTTAGATAATTTGCTTAAATTCACTAAACTATCACACAACCATCTTGGGCCTAAAATTTAGTCTTCAGAATAAACCAACAAATATAAAATATCAACAGAAAAGCCCTGAAAATTAGCCCCAACTGTGACAGACTTTACAAGTATTCAGCAGGCCAAAGTGAGAAAACCTTCATCGGCGCAGACAAAGTGTGTGCGTGGTGTAGAATGACACTATTAGGACTAGATCCCTAATAAGTTTCTTAGCAGTTGGCATTGGAAGTACTCTTTGTGGGTTCATTTGGAAGGCAATAAGAAAGATGATGAAACAATATATGTAAAAAGTTATGAATCTTTTTGAAAACACATTTTTCTTCATCTAATTCTTACCCAGAATTAAATGAAGCCACTTTCTAAATTATATATTATTGGTTTTGAAAAGTTGTAACCAACTTTACAGACCGATTCCAAACTTAAACGTCCTGGTTGATAACATGCTTTCCTTATAAGGATTTCCTGTCTGTTGGGAATTACACCAGTCCTTCCTGCACCACAAGTGCCTCCCCCCAAAGATCACAGTTTGGATTCTTCAGGGTTAAAGACCCCTCCTTAGTACCCTAAAATGTAATTTATTTTCATTAGACCTCGGAATACGTCCATAGATGAGGCTTTCTCCTCTGAGTCGGGCTATTAATGCTGCTTTTGGATCCGTCCTCCATCTGTGGCCTTTTATTCACACTCTCTCACCAGTTTATCAGGAGGTCTGTTTAGTTCGTATGTTAAAATGTTATTCTCAGGAGCTTAGAACCCGCCTCTTTCCTGCTGGACCTTCACAGGGTCTCCATTTCTGTCTGAATACAGGGCCGCCCCATCAAATTCTAAATGAGTGAGGCCCTGCTCTTTGATACGGATGCATACTGAACGAAGGTTGACCCATGTTCAAAATCATGTCATGCCTCAATTATCTGCACCACACAGCTGAAAAAGTCTGAGTACACAGAAATATGGTCTATAGATGTTTCCCTGTAGAGAACAGCTCTAGAAAAGACCAGAATTTCCCAATTGCTGGACTAAAAGGGATTTTCTATTTTATTCTAAAACAGGTTTTGTCAATGCGGGAACATTTTCTACTTCTACTTGTCGTAATCTTGCAGGGTTTCCCCCGGAGTTTGCCAGAACATTCGGTACAGTGGGGGAAAGGCACAGGGAGAAAACCAGCTGTAATTGTTGTGTCACCAACATTCTCCACATAGAGCACAAACCAGGTTTATAAGTCAGACAGACGTGGCTGTCATTGAGCAAAATGCTCAGATCTGGTGATTAAACTCACCTGATTAATTAATCCCTCGATCCTCAAAGCGAGTTATTGGTATCCTCGTTTTTAGTTTTCTTTTTTATCATAAACTAGCTTGAACTTCAGATCACACAAGGGTTGCAAAATCCTTTGCTTATGTTTCCCCCCCTAATGATAGGAACAATACAAACCAGCTAAATGTGTTAGTCTTTTATTTTTCATTTGTATGTGTCCTTGACAGAAAACGACAGTCATTTTTTAATAAATATGTTTATTTCCAAAAAAAAAGGGAGCAGTCAGGCCCCCGGCGTGGCGCAGCTGGGAATCCCAGTTCAAACGTGTGAACGTAGAACCTTCAGGCTTCTCGAAATTGGACCAAACTAGTAGAGATCGACATTTTCCTCCTAATCGCTCTGAATTTTTCCATGATTCACACAAGGAGGCGTCGCAAAGCAAATTGTTCTCAGAACTTCATAGGCTGGGCCTCTGCAAGCTGTTTAAAGGCACCATGATGTTTGTGTTTTTAAACAGCTTAACCAAAAAATATTTTTAAAGTGGTTTAAAAAAATCTTGCTACTTTTTCTGGCATTTAGTTAATATAAGATTAGTATATTTGTGTTTAGGACAGAGGGGGACATGCTGCTTCAGACTGTCTGCAGAGTCAAAGTGAAAGGAAAAGAAAAACAAGATGGCCTCCAGCCTCTCATTACAATCAATCTAATTGGTTTTTCTCGTTCCTAAACCTAACCAGCCTAGAGAGAAGGACCCAACATGGTGCTAAAAACTGGAAGGGGATACTTCCAGAAATGAGGCGGCCTTTGAATTTGTTTTAGTTTGACTTCAGTGCCGTTTAGCTGCTGATGCTGCAGTATTTCAGTCCGATCTTTCTGGCAGAGCATCATCATCATCCTTAGCAGCGGTTCGGGAGTTTCCCTTCAAATGAGCCACTTCCTGTTTACTGAGTGGCTTTAGATGAGAGGAGCCACTGAACCTGCATCCAGATGAGTGTTGGATCAGGCTGTTTGAGGCTGGCTGTGGGAAACTGTCAGGTCATTACAGAGTAAAGGCTTCACATCTGCTGCTTGATGTTGGTTTTAGATGAGAAAGAAAAATGTCTTCTCCACGAGGTGCATTTCTGGCTGCAGTTGAGATCATTTCTTTGGTTTCACCTCATGTTTTCTTGGGTCTGCAGCACCAGTGGGCTTTAAGATGGAAGTGGATAGGAGCAGGTCTTTTTCAACATGAGCTCTGGTTTGTCAGGTGCTGGAGCGCCTTACAGAAACACATTAGAGGATGCTTCCTAAAAGGATCCAGAGTAAAGATGGCTGTTATTGCTGAAGATCCATACAAAGTGGATAAATGCAAACTGCAGGA